TTTCCCTTTTAGGGCATGCCCGGTGGTGGAATGGAGGTAAGTAGCTTTTCTTTATTCTCTGCCATTCCTTTCTTCATATTCTTCTCCCCTCTGAAGAAGTACTTCTCCTATACATTTCTCCCCTTCACCAAAAGCATCTCAACAGTGCCCAGAGAATAATCACAAAATGTTTGGTCTGTTTCTACCTTCCTTTCCAATATCTGACAATTGAAAATAGGTCCCTCAGCCACGTGGGGATGGAGACTCCCTGAAAAATTGCATGAGAAAGATGGTCATGGTTGTACATACCAGTTTATCTCTTCATCAAGATCTCCTCTGCTGAGGAGATGCAGAGGAGATCTTGATGAAGAGACAAACTTATATCTACAACCATGACCATCTTTTCATTTCCTAACTTTCCTGGAATAGAAGGAAGTGGTGGATATGGAGGTGGCATAAAAGAGAGTCTGTAGTAAAGCTGAAATGGGAAATACCTTTCCAGGTTAAGGATATATACCAGTCAAAGGAAGTCTTTACTCACTCCTGGTTTCTCATTGCCTGCTAAACTCTTTAGCCAGCCAAATGTAGCTGTCTTGTTCAGAGAAAAGAGACCCATAAAGCAATCCAACTTGATTTTATGTTATGCGCATGGAAGACTTTTTTCGAATCTTCTCAAAGTATTGGGTTTTTTTTCATGCAGGAGAGGACAATGTACAACTTTTTCTCTAGTGGTTTCTTCCTTTATGGCATGGTTGATCAACACAATGAATATATGTATCTTTTTGGATCCTTTCACTCCATGTTATGTGAAATTAGGAATTTCTTTTTTAATCTGGACACTGAATGAATTCATTTTCGAGATACGGAAGGTGGTATTGATGGCACAGTTGAAGAAGACATGGGTGTTATCATATTCAATTAGAACGGTTCCCATTTGTTTCCCTTTTAGGGCAACTCTGAAGATGGAATGGTGGTAAGTAGCTTTGATTTATTTTTGGCCATCCCTTTCTTCATACACTTCTTCCACCTAAACAAGCATTCATTTGATTGTTGTGCTTACTTCAATTCTCCTTCTGAATTATACGAAGTAAGTGGAAGTAGAGGTCAGATGAAAGAAATGGTCTAGTGAAGATGAATTGGAAAGCATCTCTCCATGATGAAGATGTCCAAGGTATAATGTGTAAAAGAAATCTTCACTCACTCTTCAGTTCTCTTAGCTTGCTAAATCTTTTACCCAATCAGATACAGTTTCTGTGTTCAGGAAAAGCGGCCCCCTAACACAATCCGACTTCATTTTTTGGTAAACGTGAGGAAGGCCTTTTCTGAATCCTCTCAAGCCACCATTTTCTCACAGTTGAGTGGCAAATGCATTCATTTTTCTCTCTACTGGCGTTGACTGATCTACAGGATTGAAATGTTCTTCCCAACACTTAATTTTGCTTTTAAGATGGATTTCCTTTTCTGGCGGTTTATTGCAACTGTAAATTTTGTGGAATTCAGAAAGCAAGATTTTTTTCAATAGGTATTTAATAAGGTAAAAATCATGGTAACCTAGTCTACTGTGTAGTGTCAGAAAGCATATGTAACACAGCTTTTCTGGCTGTTAGCCTAACCATCTTTCTGTAGGTTTTGTAATATATTAAATGGTAAGCAGATCAAAGAAGCATACTTCTCCATAGGACAATTTACAAAAGAAGAATAAGGAAAATGTACACTATGCACATTTAGGGTGTTGTGTCAAAGAAGCGGGTAGGCTTGTCCTTGACCTGGTTAGACAGCTAACATGACCACAGGTTCACATGTAAGATGTGATTACATTCTGGAAGTTTCCTGGAAGAGCTTTAAACTGAACAGTTATGCCTATTAAAGATTCTATTTTCTTGACAACCAACTTCTCTGTTAGTCTATAAATCTAATGCAAGCAAAAATTCAATGCAAACATGTTTCTGTGTTGATATTTTCATTGTGTGACTGTGTAAGAATATTGAAAAGAGGAAGAAAAATATCTTTCAGAGCAGTTTAACATATCTCTGCCTTTTTGTCTGCTTTCACTCATTTGTTTCCCTTTTAGGACACGCAGGGGCACGGAGGTGGAATGATGGTAAGTAGCTTTTATTTATTTTCGACCATCCCTTTCTTCATATTCTTCTTCCAGCTAAAAAAGTACCCCATTTTGTTGTTGTGCTTACTTCAATTCTCTAGGATAATCTCAGCAGGAATTGATATTTTCATTGTGTGAATGTGTAAGAATAGTGAAAAGAGGAAAGAAAATATATCTCAGAGCAGTTTAACATATCTTTGCCTTTTTGGCTGCTTTCACTCTGGGTTGTGTGAAAGTACATATATTTTTTATCTGTAGAATAAAGGAATTCCTATAGGAGACACCAAAGATTGTGATGATGGCATAGTTGAAGAAGTCAGGGGTGTAATTATATCAGAGTTGAACATATACCTTTTGTTCCCCTACATGGAGGGAAGTGTGTAGTGGGGTGCCCCAAGGCTCTGTTCTGGGCCCAGTGCTCTTCAACATCTTCATCAACGATTTGGATGAGGGGATAGATGGGGAACTCATCAAATTTGCAGACGATACCAAGCTGGCAGGAATAGCCAACACTCCAGAAGACAGGATTAAGATACAGAAGGATCTGGACAGACTTGAACACTGGGCACTATCTAACAAAATGAAATTCAATGGTGAAAAAAGCAAGGTTCTACATTTAGGCAAGAAAAACCAATTGCACAAGTACAGCATAGGTGGCACCTTGCTCAATAGTAGTAACTGTGAGAGGGACCTCGGAGTCCTAGTGGACAATCACCTAAATATGA